GGTCCTCAGATAAACTAATTCCACAAGTGCAGAAGTGGTCCTCAGATAAACTATTCCACAAGTGAAGTGGTCCTCTGACAAACTTTCTCAAATAGTTCTTAGGTAAATATCTCAGAAGTGAATAAGACGTAGTTCTCAGATAAACTATTCCACAAGTGAAGAAGTGGTCCTCAGATAAACTATTCCACAAGTGAAGAAGTGGTTCTCAGATAAACTATTCCACAAGTGAAGAAGTGGTCCTCTGACAAACTTTCTCAAATAGTTCTTAGGTAAAATATCTCAGAAGTGAGTAAGACGTAGTTCTCAGAGAAACTGTTTCACAAGTGAAGAAATTTTCTTAGGGAAACCATTTTACAAATAAAGAAAAAGTGGTCCTCATATAAACTATTCCACAAATGAAGAAGTGGCCATAAGGTCAACTATTCCACAAATGAATAAGTGGCCATAAGGTAGACTATTCCACAAATGAAGAAGTGATTCTCAGGTAAACTATTCCACAAATGAATAAGTGGCCATCAGGTAAACTATTCCACAAGTGAATAAGTGGCCATCAGGTAAACTATTCCACAAATGAAGAAGTGATTCTCAGGTAAACTATTCCACAAGTGAATAAGTGGCCATCAGGTAAACTATTCCACAAATGAAGAAGTGATTCTAGGGTAAACTATTCCACAAGTGAATAAGTGGCCATAAGGTAAACTATTCCACAAATGAAGAAGTGGCCATAAGGTAAACTATTCCACAAATGAAGAAGTGATTCTCAGATAAACTATTCTACAAATGAAGAACTGATTCTCAGATAAACTATTCCACAAATGAAGAACTGATTCTCAGATAAACTATTCTACAAATGAAGAACTGATTCTCAGATAAACTATTCCACAAATGAAGAACTGATTCTCAGATAAACTATTCTACAAATGAAGAACTGATTCTCAGATAAACTATTCTACAAATGAAGAAGTGGCCATCAAGAGGAACTTTGTGCTATTCATAATCATGATGAGGCTTAAAAAAATGTTGAGGAACTCTATATGCAAATAGTAGTGCAATCAAAGTTAAGCTAAACCTCACAATAATCTAATTAGAGACCTACTAAACACCACAATAATATAATTAGAGACCTACTAAACTCCACAATAATCTAATTAGAGACCTACTAAACCCCACTATAAACCAGTAAGAGACCGATTAAATTACATCGTAAGTCAACCAGAAACTGTTTAATCCTCACAATAACGTGGTTAATATGTTGTAACATACTCAACCTTGTTTTCACTGATGGGTTGTTAGAATAATCCAACCAGAGATTGATTAAACTGTACCATGACTGAGATCGTTTATTACTATCTTTTGGATTATATTGTAATAGTTTGTTTGTTTTTGTATTTCGCGCAAAGCTACACGAGGGCTATCTGCGCTAGCCGTCCATAATTTA